GGAACACGTACGAAGTACAAATAAATGTTATCTGTGTCTGTGTCTAGCAAATAGCTAAACAGAAGGTTGTTATTTCCTCCTTGAGAGCGAGGTCTATGTGTAAAATTTTCAATAAAAGAGAGCTTACGAATCTACTCGAGGTTCTCACTTTTGCAGACAGCCCTGTGTCTTGTGTTTCATGGGAACCGGATCACTACAGGAGGGTGGAAGGACGGACGTTCCTTGCGGTCATTTTGAAAGCCGGTCACTGGTTCTCTGAGGGGCCTTGAGGACCCCCAGGGGTTTATCTGGGCCCTCAGAGTCCCCTGAATTGGGGGGGCAAAGGGGTGGGGAGCCTTCCTGGGGCTGCTGAAAAGACCCCGTTGTAGGCAGGAGATGGGGGGTCCTTTCCCTCCCCCCACTCTGTTGAGGGAGGGCTGCTTAACTTTGACCTAGATTGCTTGGGGGTCTGGGGATCTTGGGGAGAAGAGAACCCCCAGATCTCCTAGTTATCCCCCAAATTTTCTTTTTTCCCCCTGCAACTTTCCTCCTACTAGCTGTCTTTGCGTGATTTGGGGGTTCAGCCCTCTTTCCTGTCCCCCTGGAGCCCCCCAAGAGCCATCTCAAAGGGAAGGTGTCCAGCCCCCCTCACAAAAGTGATAGTTCTGGGTAGACATTTTAGGGGAGCAATTCAGACCCCCCCCCCAATATCCTTCTCCCTCAGTTCACTCCTCCCCTCCAGGTCCGATTCAGCAATGGGGGAATGTGGGGTGGGGGGTTCTCCGTCTCTTCCCCAAATTCAGAGTCTCCCCCAAGAAGAAAAGGAAGCTCAACTCTTTCCTCACCTTGAAAAAAAAATGGAGAGTCAGAAGAAAAACTGAAATTGCAAAAAAACTTTTTGGTGGCCTTTGTGGATTCAGGTCTGAAAGTGCCTCAGTTTCCCTCTTTCACTTTCGCTTTCCGTCTCCTTCCTCTTTCGGTGCAAGAAACTTTGGGGCTCAGGCGCTAATTCGGGGTGCGCAAGGTCCCCCTCCCAACCAGCCACGGGGGGGGACAGAGAGGGACCCAGCTGTTTCTTAACCCACCTAGGTTACCTTCCCGCGACCCCTCTCCGTCCTCCTGACGGAGGGGGCGGAGACCACGCGGAGATCGAGGCTCCCGTCTCTCTTGCCCTGCACCCCTTTCCCTACTTCTAGGGTCCCAGCCCCTTTCTTTCTCTCCCCTCCCCGGCAGTGACGGCCCCTCACAACCTCCTCCTCCTCCCCCCCCCAGCCCCC